TGTTTGGATTTTAACCTTCTATCTCTAACTGCAGAAAGCATCTTGGTCTTTACAAATGGTATTTGCTATCTGAATGAAGAGTGTGATAGCTAGAAGGAAACGGAATATGGTCAGTATCAGCAGGGTTAGAGATGAGCTCAGTTGCAGAGTGCATGTTCAGTATGCATAGGGGGCTCAGTTGCAGAGTGCATGTTCAGTATGCATAGGGCCCGAGGTTTGATTGCCAGCACTACAAAAAGAAACCACATAAGTGGTTGTGGGTTTTTGGTTGTTTTTTTTTTAAAATCAAAACTCCTTATACCCCTTTACTGTTCAGACCAAAAGAACATCTACATGTTTGTTACACTGGCCCCCAAACCTTTTCCTCTACCACACAACCCCCAGATTCACAAGTTCCATACCCCATTTTCTTCATGCCTTCTCTTCTTCCCAAATGGCATCAAACATTCTAAGACAGACAAAGATTAGAAAAATCAGTTTGAAAAATCAGGTGCCTTGGTGGATAAATGGTAGAAGACAGGCACAGACAGAATATTCAAAAACAGTAACAGAGGGAGGGAAAGAAAATGATGCATTAATGCACTAATAACCAACCTATTTTAGTCTGGATGCCTAAAGCCAGTTGTAATTGATGGTGAGGAAAACTTGGAGCAGGAAAGGTCAAGATTTGGGATGGTCCTCTTTGAAAGAATGTGTGCTAATGTGACATTTTGTAATCTGTCTGCTTTACACACAATAACAACTTAAGTAATTTCTTCTTTTCTGCAGAGGATATAGTCCATGATCTCCAGTTAATGCCTGTAACTACATAAGGGACCCAACCACAGATTTATAGCATTATATTTTTCCCACACATACCTATCAGTGATAACAATTAATTTATCACTTAGGAACAATAAAATATGAATATTAACAAATAAAATATTAGTAGAATGATAAGCTATAATAAAAATTAGGTGAATATGGTCTCTGCCCTGCCCTCCTTCTCTCAAAACATGTCATCATAATTTACTAACCATTCTTGATGACTATGAGTAACTGAAAATTTTAGAAAGGGAAATCTCAGATAAGGAGGAAGGGTTACTATGTGTTAATATGTCATATTAACTTATCAGCACTACCACTTATATGGATACATAGTTGTTTCATAATAGCTTATTAACAAAATATTTTGGCCTGAAACTTACAAAATGTGAAAACTCCTTAAATATATTGCTTAGTGAAAATGCAGTAAACTGTCACCACTAAAACTGAATACTGCAGGGGACTTAAATCACAAATGGAATTCTTTTTTTCGTGCAGTAAGCGTTTTTAGCATTAGCTAAATCATCTCTTGCAAAATTGTCCTCTATTGTTTTTGTTGTTGTTAAAGCCTACTGTCTCCCTTATTTATACCTATTATATTTTTTGGAATTCTGATGAATCATTCCTTATTTATTGTTAAAGAATGAACAAGTACCTAATTCATCCTATTTTACAAATAAGTTAAGTGGGGCACTGACATGAATATATGCGTTTTCTCCAAACTTTTCTTGCATTTTTAGGTATTTTTAAAATAGGCATTATGTAGGCTATGTGGTAAATTATTTTTTTACTGGGTGCTGGTGGTTCATGCCTGTAATCATAGCTACTCATGAGGATGAGATCTGGAGGATGGCAGTTTAAAATCAGTCTGGGAAATGAAGTCTGTGAGACTTCAAAATAACCTATCTCCACAAATAACGAGCAAAGAGTCAGGCTGGAGGCATGGGTCAAATGGGAGAGCCCTAACTGAGTGAACAAGACAGGTAAGCATGAAATTTAAACTTTTGGGATGGGGGGAAACATATGACACTTTTTTGTTTAATCCTTATATTCCAATTATGGCAAAATTTCCTTGAAAATAAAAAGCCATGAAAAATAGACTTTAATTGTTTCCTTGTAGCCTGGCCACTTAAAGCCATTCTCAACTCCATTCTTCTCTCTTGCTTTCTACTTTTAGAAAAAAAATGTCTTTTTATATTTCATTCTGTTGTATGACCCAGATCTGGCCAGTGAGATGTTAGGTGGAAATTCCTGGGAGGAACTTCCAGAAAAGCATGTAAGATTAAAACCTGGCTGACATATGCCTTTAGACTGCCCTTATATCTTATCCTTTTTCTTGAAAGATGGATACTCAGAGGTGCATTAGACATCACGCAATCATCAGAACAAAACTTGATGCTAAGAATGATGGAGAAGGAAACTAGGCTCTTTAATTGCAGCAATGGAATGCTTTAAAAAGGAGCATAGACTATGGAAGAAATTAAGTTTTTTTTCTTTTTTCACATACAGTACAATTAGTGACTAATTCGCTGAACAAATGTCACCATTTAAAAACATTTAATGTAGCCGGGCTCTGGTGGCTCAAGCCTGTAATCCTAGCTACTCAGGAGGCTGAGATCTGAGGATCGCGGTTCAAAGCCAGCCCGGGCAGGAGAGACCGTGAGACTCCTATCTCCAATAAACCACCAGAAAACCGGAAGTGGCGCTGTAGCTCAAGTGGTAGAGCGCTCGCCTTGAGCTGAAGAGCTGAGGGACAGCGCCCAGGCCCAGAGTTCAAGCCCCACGACCGACAAAAAAAAACAAAAAACATTTAATGTAAAGAAGGTCTATCACAAAGGCAGCTTCTAAATTCAAAGGTTTTCACTTGTTTTTTTAACAAGGCACTATTTTTCAACTCAAATTTGCAATGTATCCCAAAGTATCAAGTCCTATTCCCTGATGTTTTATATTGCCTTAAAAAACACAGTAATTGGGCTGGGAAGGTGGCTCAGTGGTAGAGTGCTTGCCTTGCATGCCTGAGGCCCTGGGTTCAATTCCTCAGCACTATATAAGCAAAAAAAAAAAAAAAAAAAAAAAAAAAAAAGCCGGAAGTGGCGCTGTGGCTCAAGTGGTAGAGCGCTAGCCTTGAGCTGAAGAGCTGAGGGACAGTGCCCAGACCTAGAGTTCAGGCCCCATGACCGGACCCAAAAAACCCCCAAAACACACAGTAATTCTCTTCCCTAGGGTTATTAAATTCAGATATTTGCAGTATAATGTCGGTAACAACTCACAGTTGACATTTTCAACACCATATGTAATTAGTAATCTTGAACTCATTCTTGAAAACTACCTGTGACATATGCTAAGATCTAAGCTAATGACTCAAGATTAAAATCTTACTAACCTTTGCTGTAAGGTATTAAAGCTGTCTAATCTCATGAGATCTTTGCAATAAAATAAGGGAGGTTGAAAATGCCAACAGCAATGGCAAGTTATGACCAATTCAAATTTAAGTTAAAAATTTACCCAGACAAAACAATGCTTTTTTATGTAGTTATAGTACTTACATTCAAACTGATGTTTTATTCCTCTGAGGAACTGCTTCAAATTGCTTAAGGAAATCTTCCTTATACTTCTGTGTATTTGGGGGAAAGATGTGAGCACTGGAGCTTGAACTCAGGGCCTGGGCACTGTCCCTTAGCTATTTCACTCAAGGCTAGCACTCTACCACTGAAGGCACAGGTTTACACTTATAGCTTTTTGGTGGTCCATTGGGGATAAACAGTCTTGGAGACAGTTCTGACAGGCTGGCTTTGACTTGCAATCCTCAGAGCTCAGTCTCCTGAGTAGCTAGGATTACAGGCATGAGCCATCAGCATCTAGCTTATACTTCTATTTTGACCATGTCACTACCATATTCAAAATATTTACCAGCACTCTACTTGTGAGAGAGAACTCTAAACCCTGTGAGTGAGCCCATATTCCCTTGTGAGTTTAATTTTATTTCTTCCGACTTCATTATGATCAAAATAGTTCAATTTCTAAAGAGAATTTTATGCCACCCAATTTTTAAGTACAGATGCTCATTATAATATCAAGAAATTAGAAACAATTCAAAAGTCAAAGGACCACTCACAAAAATACTCCATAATTTCTCATTAAAGACTTAGCAGCATTTTGACTGTTACCCTGAAATTCTGAGACATATATATACTAAGCAGTTATTGTTTTCCTGAAATTCAAATTTCATTGGGTGTCTTGTTTGTTTGTTTGCTCCTTCCTTCCTTCCTTTCTTTCTTTCTTCCTTTTCTTCTTTCTTTCTCTCAACTTTATTTTTGTCAGCTCTTCAGCTTAAGGCAAGTGCTCTATCACTGGAGCCACAGCACCACTTCTGGTTTTCTGAGTGGTTTACTGGAGATAAGAGTCTCATGGTCTTTCCTGCCTGGGCTGGCTTTGAACCGCGATCCTCAGATCTCAGCCTCCTGAATAGCTAGGTTATAGACGTGAGCCACTGGCACCTAGCTTGTCCTGTTATTTTGGCAAGCCTGAACCAGTGCCATCTCTGTAGAGGAGCTCCCCCATTTTCCCAAATCTAAAAAGCATCATTTGTCTTAACTTCTAACTCCTTTGTCATAACCCTGCTTTCTTGGTAATATTTGTCTATCCCTGGGAAATAATACTCACTTTTTTTTTTGTCTATCCCTGGGAAATAATACTCACTTTTTTTTTTTGTTTATTCATTTTATCATATAAAGTGTAATTCATTTCCCTCTGTTTTCTTCCCTATGCCACCTCGCAACCCGTCAGTACCACAGCAATAGTCTCTTCTTGTCTCAGTTAACTCAGCTAAAGGAAGAGTGCTTAGCAATAAGTACTCAAAACATACTGCTGAATTTTGAATCAATGAAAATGTATTTTGAATGAATGCTATGAATTCACATGCCTTGTAAGGTGTTTAGTAAAATTATTTCCTTCTAATCCCTTATCTAAATCAAATTTTAAAACTCTAAAAGGAAAACTGGTCATACATTGTTTCTTATGCAGTCTGAATATTAACTAGCTTCATGTGATTTATTATATTACTGATGTACTGCTAACAAGACATAATTATTTATAATTGCTTAGGGTCAACAATAACTAGGAATATAGAAATATTTATAAAAACATGCTTGTAGAGTAAAAAGTTTATACAAATAAATGTAAAACTATGCAAATACCGTCTTAATAGAACTCCTTTGCTTTTCTTCCCAAACACCACTGCTTAGCTCAAGTGTGCAATGAACATTTGCTTCTCTGTCATAGGATCCAAAAATGAGTAACCTGCAATACAAAAACCGAAGAAGACTATTACGCCAATTCTACAAAGAAAAAATTTTCTTCATCATTATAGTAAGACTATAGTATTCTATTACTACCACAGTTTTAGAAATTGAAAAAATTAAATCATACACTTGCTACACCCTCTAGTGGAAAAGTGAAGCAAAACTTAAAATTACATGTGATTAGGTGGTATTCTACTTTTCAGTAAAGTCAAACAAATAAGAATATTAATTTAAATAGTGGGATGTTATCTATTCATGACTAAAGAAATTGGTCAAATTTTTCTATGTAGTAAGCAAGATCTAAGATTTGCAAAACAGGCTGTAAATTTAAAAGAAATAAGTTTCTGAGTGCTATATATAGGATGCTACCTGTAAAAATTAAACATAGGGAAGTACAAATGCTTATGAATGAAAACACACACACATATACACACATACCATTCCCTAATGTAATCCTAAGCACTTTACTTAAGTTTTCTAAACCCATTTCCCATTCTAGAAAATTGGGGCAAAACAGTACTTACTTGAGAAATATTTTGAGACCAAAAGAAGGCAATATACACAAGGCAGTATATGAGCTAGCAAACAGTAAGTTCTCAAAAATGTTCATTATTTCCATTATTATCTTGAAAACAACTGAATAATGGTATTACCTAATTGTGTTATTATATTTCAGGTTTAAAAGGACATGTGAGGTCCAATTTTAAGATAATATAAAAGTTCTTATTACTGAAGAAAAGCAAGGCTTTTCCCATTTATATACTATCTATGCACAAGTGGGCAGACTGTATCTGCCCACTTGTTTCCGGAATAAGCATGAGTTAGCATTAATCTACATTTTGACTTTTACTCCACTAATTTATCTCTACAGAAGGATGATGGGTAAGAGAAAATGGAACAAAACTGATAAAAATACATTAGAGGAACTTGAGAAAATCAGGTCCTAAGTATGACAATTTCAAGAAAATCATGTCCCTATCTCACTAACTGGACTTAGAAACAGAAGCCTGAACACATTAACAGAAAAAAAAATCCCTAAATTTCAACACTTCTTAAAAATCTTAAAAGAAATCTTAAAGTAGTTTAATCGCCATATTACCCAAAAGAAGACAAATTAAGAAGATTCATAATTTTACCATATGAAGTTTAGAATTAGAATTTGTATTCACTAAAGCTCTGCTGCCACCATCTGTTCAACAAATAAACTACCTCAGTGCCTTTACATACAGCAAGGCAGTACACCAGCCTCAAACTCCTCACTAAATACTCAGGAGGCAGAAATGAGAAAGTAGAATTCTCCTTGAAACCATAAGTTATTCCATATTTTTCATAGTATTTTAAAAAGTGCATCTTAAAATAGGAATACAGAGCATAACAAAAACTAAACATGACTGTAGACCAAAATGTAAGCATTAAAACTATAAAACCCTTTAAAAAAAAGCACAGTAAAAATAATTTTGGCTAGGTGCCCATGGCTACATTTGTAATCCTAGCTGTACATGGGGCTGGGAGCTGAAGGATCATGTGTAGAGGTCAGCCAGAGCAAAAGTAGGGCTGGGGATGTGGCTCAAGTGGCAGAATGTCAACCAAGCAAGCATAAGGCCACAATCCAAGGCTCAGGAACACACACACACACACACACACACACACACACACACACACACACACACACACACACACACACACACACACACACACACACACACACACACACACACACACACACACACACACACACACACACACACACACACACACACTTTCTGACCTAGGACTAGGCAATGGTTTATTTGGCTTGACACAAAATGCATAACCACCATGAACATATCATATGTTAATAAATAGTAATATTTAATTTGTTTTTGTTCTCCAAAGGGCACCATCATGTCAATAAAAAGACAATCCAGAGGATGGAATGCTAACCATGCATTTGGATATTTTATTCTTTCCCCAGAAAGAATAAACTCTTCAACTAAACAATGAAAAGTAAATAACAAATTCTTGACTTCCTATTATTATAAACAAGTATTATGACAAGATTGTATATTTCAATAAAATGTAAAAATGATTTTTACCTGATATAGTCATTTGATAACAGACTCTATAAAAGAAAAAGACAGGGGCTAGTAGTTCCCACCTGCAATCTCAGCCTCAGGGGAGGTTAGTCAGCAGGGTCAGGATTTGGAGGTTAGCTCAGGCATATTTGTAAGACCCCTTTCTCAAAGAATAGGTAGGTATGCGGTGGGACCTGTCATCAGCTACAACAAGAAGCATAAAGTAGGCAGATCACAATCCAAATGCATGCTTATCAGGAAGTAAAATCCTATCTAAAAACCAGTGCAAAAAAAAAGGATTGGAGGCATGGCTCAGTGCAGAACACCTGCATAGTTCAAACTTCAGTACACCTGCCACCCTCCACCCCCAGGATAATTTAAGTCAAATGATTCCTAAGAAAAAAATCATTAAAATATCAGAAATATTTGCTGGGCTTGACCAAAAGAGCTCAATGCTAGTACTCTACCAAATTGAGCCACAGCATCACTTCCCATTTTCTGGTGGTTAACTGGAGATAAGAGTCTCATGGACTTTCCTGCCTGGGTTGCTTTTAACTGTGATCCTCAGATCTTAGCCTTCTGAGTTGCTAGGATTACAGGTGTGAGCCACCAGCACCCAGTTTCTAATATTATTCTATTTTCAAATTTTTTATTGTGATTAAGTGGTTACATAATTTCCCAAATTTCACAGTATTGTGGGATAGTGATGTTCAGTTGAAGTCACAAACACATTCTAACTTTTCCTGGAGCGAATTGTCTATCACCGTCTATAACATTTATGAGTTCTAAGAGCTTTGCGATAGTTATTTCTTCCACATTGGGTGGTATGTACATTTCTTATGTTTTGCATACCATCAGCTGTTCCCTCTTTCCCACTTGTTCCCTCCCATCACTGCCATTAAGTTGCTTAGCTCATTTTGGTCAATGTCCAGTGCAGCTGATGGGTCCCGCTGTTATATGTTTTTCCCTGATTCCCTCTAGTTCCGTATCATCTTCCTGGTTCCCCTCCGGTGTACATATATATATACCATACATGTGATCAGCAGCATGGGGTTATTTAGTAGTGATTCGACCAGATGAGTGGAAGTCCTTTGTTTCTTAAGTCCTGTTAATTTTGTCGTATCACCTAACATTTTGGATTTAACATCCACTTATCAGGGAGACCGTGTACCATGTCTCTTTGCTCTTGGCTTACCTTGCTCAACATGATTTCTTCTAGCTCCATCCATTTCCCTGAAAATGCCATTATTTTGTCATTTCTAATGGCTGCATAATATTCCATTGTGTATAGATACCACAATTTTTGGATCATTCATCTGTGGTGGGACATCTGGGTTGTTTCCATATCCTGGCTATTGTGAACAGTGCTGCAATAAACATGGAGGTGCATGTGTCCTCGTAAACTGGTTCCTGTTGTTGAGGATAGATGCCTAGAAGTGGTATGACTGGGTCATAAGGGAGGTCAATATTTAGCTTCCTGAAGACCCTCCAGACTGCTTTCCAAAGTGGTTGTATAAGTGTACATTCCCACCATCAGTGTAATAGGCTTCCTCTTTCTCCACATCCCCTCCGGCATTTGTCGTTGGCTGATGTGAGGATGTGGGCCATTCTGACTGGGGTAAGGTGGTATCTCAGGGTTGTCTTTATTTGCATTACCTTCACAACCAGGGATGGTGAACATTTCCTCATGTGTTTCTTTGCCATTTTTATCTCTTCCTCTGAGAAGTCTCTCTTTAGTTCTCTTGCCCATTTAATAATTGGTTTGTTAGGTTTGGGAGGGATTAATTTCTTGAGTTCCCTGTATATACTGGATATTAACCCCTTGTCTGATATATTGCTGGTAAATATTTTTTTTTTCCCAATTAGTTGGTTGTCTTTCTAGCTTGGTTGCAATAGCTTTAGCTGTGCAGAAGCTTTTTATTTTAAGGTAGTCCCATTTGTCGAGTCTCTCTCCAATTTATTGTGACCCTGAGACTGTTCAGGAAGTTCCTTCCTGTGATAGTTGTCAAATATCAGCTGACTGTAGGCATATGGATTTATTTCTGGATCTTCTATTCTATTCCATTGGTCTTTGGGTCTGTTTTTGTGCCAGTACCATGCTGTTTTTATTATGGCTATATAGTAGAGTTTGAAGTTCGGTATGGATATCACTCCCATGTTGTCTTTATTCCCTAGAATTGTTTTAGCTATTCTAGGTCTTTTGTTGTTCCATATGAATTTTTGGACTGTTTTCTGTATTTCAGAGATGTATGTCATTGGGATTTTAATAGGAATTGCATATTTGTATATTAATTTTGGCAGTATTGCTATTTTCACTGTACTTGGTCTGCCTATCCAAGAGCATGGTAGGTCTTTCTATTTCCCAGTGTCTTCTGTAATTTCTTTAATTTTTTTATAGTTTTCATTAGTTCTTTTACATCTTTGGTTAATTCCTAAATGTTTTATTTTGGGGGAGGTTATTGTGAATGGGGTTGCTTCCTTTATTTCCCTCTCTGCTTGTACATTGTCAGTGTACAGGAAGGTGACTGATTTTTGTGGGTTGATTTTGTATCCTGCTAGTTTGCCGAAGTGATTTATGATTTCTAAGAGTTTGGGGATGGAGTTTTTGGGATCATGTATAGTATCATGTCATCTGCAAAAAGGGATAGTTTAAATTCTTCTTTCCCTATGCAATCCCTTTAATGTCTTTTTCTTGCTTTATTGCCCTGGCTAAGGGTTCCAGGACTATACTGAAAAGGAGTGGAGACAGTGGGCATCCTTAACTTGTTCCTGATTTTAGGAGAACTGGTTGTAGCTTTTCCTCATTAAGTATAATATTGGCTACTGGTCTGTCATAAATGGCTTTTATTGTTTTAAGAAATGTTCCTTCTATTCCTATTTTCTCCAGAGCTTTTAGCATGAATGAATGTTAAATTTTATCAAAGGCCTTTTCTGCATCTGTGGA